TCGTACATGCTGGGTGTTTTAGCAACGTCATTATCCTAAGTGGGAGACAAGTTTCAGAAACATAACACCAAGGCCATTATTGAAGTCTGAGGGTTGGTGTAGTACAGTGGAACCTCTACTCCGGCAAAATTAACACTCGTAATAATCTTTGTACAGTGTAACCTCAATTATTAATTATACACTGCAGCTACAGCAGTTGTATGAATATTTCAGGGGCACATCCAGGATTTTTTATAGAGGGGGTCCAAACTTGCACACCGTAAGAAGAGACGACTGTGTAGAGACATTTAGTGACTGAGTGGTGAAGTCCAACAAAAGTTTCTTTGCTGAAACAATCAGATAATACTGTAGTCATATTGTGATCCTTCAGTTGTAAGATTTTAGTTTCAAAACTGTTTTAATTACTAGGAAATCAGTCCAAACCTCCTAGTCCCTCCCCCCTGGATCTGCCATCCCCAGACAATGTGTGCTGTGTGAAATGGGAAAGCGAGCTACTTAGTGTACTCAGTGTGTGCTGGATTAAAGGATATGTTTTACATGTAAGCCTTTGTGGCTTCTCAAACATTGTAGTTGGCCATGTTATTTTGGTTGATTCTTGTCTAAAGCTTGTCTAACCTCACTTTTCATGAAATTCTGGCATAAAATTCCTTGACAAATATTTCATAAAATTAAATTTCACAAAATTGTAATTATTATTAGTGACATAACATGTCAATTCTACCAGCAAAATTGACAAGCAACTATCCGGGAGACATAAATTATTATTGAAATATCTGCTATTGTGTTTTCTGTGATTGGCGCCAAAAAGTACAAAAATGGCGCCAATTTCAAACAAAACAACGCAATATTTCAAATTTTTATACCTCATCACCCTCGGTTTGTGAATCGCTCTCTTCGTCCATCAAATATCTTTTCCTTTCATCTTTCTTCTTAGGAGATTTTGAGTTTTCAAATCCTGTCAAATACCGATGATCTGTCAACATCTTCACATTTAGGGTTTCGTAAACTTTCGTCGCTTTCGGTCGCTTCGGCGGCGAACCAAGTCAGATTCATCCACGAATATCTCTGTCTTTTTCTTGATTCCTTTCTGAACAACGGAGCTCGAAGCTCTAATTTCTTTCCCTACAAGAATAATACAATAAACAATCTAGTTTCCTGAAGTAAATGGAGAATTTCAAACTTCAGAAAAGACAAAAAAAATGCGCTCAAGTGCCTGTTCGTCTATACCTCTCCTTTGTGAATTCCTCGAGCGCGCTTCGCGATCGACGACTGTACAAGGCGAGCCATTGAGTATTCTGAAACGAAAGAGAAATGAAAGACTTTTGACTGCCCACTGTTTAGACAATTGACTTGCAGTCAACGAAACACAAGTTATATTCTATCAATAAGTCATTGTTTAAAGTTACCTTTGACTTTGGCTAGCTCGAGTAGAACGTGTTAGCGGCACGGTCGCCTGCAGATTTATCGGATATAACTTTACATTGTACCCTTCGCTATTCCGTAAACGACGTTTCTTAGCAGGAAGAGGTTTTGTCTCCAAACCACTTTCATCACTTGATGGTACCTTTTGAAACAAAAAGACAAATTTAGGCGATTGATTTGAGATTTACAGCTCGCGAAGACTGGCAATGCACATGCATGTACAGAAATGATTATCGCAACTTGTTGAGCTTTTTAATCTACATTGGCGAATCAAATCCAGCTGTTCATACTTACTTTTTCTTCTCTATTTCCTATGTTTTTCCCCCTCCCATTACCAGACCGTAATGTGCGAGGAAAAGGCGTATTTTCTCTGGTTTTTACCATGATGGTTGCTTTAGCTCGTCGGCCATTTTATGGACTGAGCCATTGTTTTGGAATGGATGTCCCGGATATTCAGTCAGCAGAACTGCCTGTATTCGTTTCCGGGTCGCCGGGTATTCCCGCGGGATCGTCTTCTTTCTTTTCTAATTTCTTTCTCTCTTTTTATTTTCTTTTATTTTCTTCTTCTTTTTCAAAATAAGATCGTCAACCGAACAATAATTACCAATAAAACCAAATCGTACGTAGCTGAAGTATTCTATTGCTAATTGCATAAAAAAAACTATCCGAAAACAAAAATGCAACAGGTAAATGGAAATGAAATTCTCGTTTCGTGGATCGGAAGTCCTAATAATTTTTGTAAACTGCCATCGGACTTCCCTTTCATTTCATATTGAAAGTCCTTGTAGGTGAATCATTAAAAAAAGCCAGGAGCCCATTACTGAATAAACTTTTGCAAAATTCCATGATATCAAATTTAAAAACGGATTCAGCCCCCAAAGAACGTCTGCGAGGAGGCTATCAGCCCCCGCCCCGGAAAATAACAGCAACAAACCAGATCAGTTTTCCGTTCAATTTTTATTTTCTCACGGAAAATAAGCCAACGCCTCCCCGTCTTCTTTTCCCTTCATTGTACCCCCCCCCCCCTCCCCCCTCCCCCAGGGGATTTCTTTCAACAATGGCGGAAAATCCCCGTCTTCCCGACCCCTTCTACGAAGCAACACGACAAAGTTCAGAGCTCTTACATCTAGTAGCAGGGGTACCGTAATATAGAGAGCGATGGAGACACACGTGGCTAAAAAGCACGGAAAAACTGTATGACATTTCTGTGAGGCACTACCTCTATTATTTCGCCTCGCGCGGGCCCCTTCAACTCGCGCGCGTCACTCCGTCGCGAGCGCTCCTCAACTCACGCTTGCGACTCATGGAATATCGCGAAAAATTTTCAGGTTTTTCGCGAATTCTAAACTGTGCAACAATAAAGGACATTGGATTACTGTGCTACGCACTCCAAAACCAACCCGTAAGCGTTTAGCCGGCTTTCCAACATGTTGAATGTTGGATCGAAAACTCAAAACATTCATTTAACAAAAAATGTCGAACAAACTTCATCTAACATGCTGTGCTAAACGTTGCAACATTGTTGAATCAACAAATGTTATATAACATTACATTCCGGAACATTTCGAATACTGCTGCCAGGTTTGACAAAAACTATTTAAAGAAGGAAAATTGGAATTTGAACACTTAATGAAAGCACAAGAGAAATTGAACTACATATACTTTTATACGGTTCAAATTATTCCATTGAAGGAATAATTTAATTTTATTGACATTCCCAAATGTTACATACTTTATGAACTGATAACTCCGTATTCCGATTTGACAATATACATATGTATTTATATATAAAATTCAATAATATAATATGTAATAATTTGACCATTCTGAAGAACAAATTTTGACATTATTTTCTTTCAATTCGAATATCTTTCTAACATTAACTCTATTGGTAGCGCCCTACGCAAACTTTCTTTGGGTTCGTCACGCGCTCCATAACAAAGATTGCGTGACGAGCCTAAATGGCGTCTGCGTACGAGGCTACTCCTTTGATGCGCGCACACACAAAAGCTAGAAAAATCAACGGCTGGATCACATTGACAAAACAAAACATGTGTTAAATTCTCTGCTACAAACGAGATTCTCGTCACGCTTTATGAAGCATTTGACCAAGACAGTCGGGGGAATAAGTACCAGTTAATGGACGGGACCGAGCCCGCGGTGTTCGTCCCCGAAGTTGCTAAGCAACATGACGTATTTGCTGGCGCGATTGCGTTCGGAGTACTCTTGAGTGCTCGTGCTAATTTCTGATTGGATAAACAGATTCGGAAACTCTTCGAGAGCTTCAACGAAGATTTGCCAAAACCGGCACTTGTTCCCCGATTGAAGAATGAATGATTGAAACGTAATGAAACGAAACCTTACCAAATTATCTGGACTATGCGTTACAAAAGCTATACATATATTCGGCTGCTTATTATGTTGTTATATAAATGCGTGTGAAACCCCAAAGTGGCCAAGGGTGCAAAATTGCAAGTACGAACGCCACATTTAGAACAATGTTTATTGTTATCTGTCACCAACACTACCCTTAACCCTTTCACTCCATCTAACATTTCTGGTCATGAAACCGTGTTACCCTGGTGTGTGACCATTCAAATGAAAGCTATTGAGCAGTACTTTCATGTGGTACTGTTTATTGTGCTGTACAAGGTGGCTCTAACTTTTAAGTCTGTGGATGAAACCCTAGTGTGCGACCATTCAAATGAAAGCTATTGAGCAGTACTTTCATGTGGTACTGTTTATTGTGCTGTACAAGGTGGCTCTAACTTTTGAGTCTGTGGATACATGAAAGCTATTGAGCAGTACTTTCATGTGGTACTGTTTATTATGCTGTATTATGTGGTTCTACCTTTTAAGTCCGTTAACTGGAAACCCTAGCAGTAGTTTTACGTAGTACTGTTTTTTTTCTCTCTCAGTATTTTGCAAAATGACACTCGTGTATGTTTTTCCAATTTTGAACTTGGCAACTCTTTGGAGTGAAAGGGCTAAGTTGCCGCTAAGCAATGAATTTTAGTTTTGTTTGAAAATTAGAATTGAATCTTCAGATGAAATTCCACTTTAGGTTTTACAATAAGTACAGTTAAAATTGGAACTTCCGACCCTCCCCTCCCTACAATACGCATTTCCATTTGCTGATCTTGTATCTGAGTGATATTTGTGGTTCATTTCTCGCCTATTTCTCTTATATAGAGAAGGAGTCTTATATATGACATAACAAGTCTTAGAAAGTTCATTAATCCTCTAGAGATGTCCCAGATCTAATGCGTGGTGAAGGTTGATTAAATCTGTGTGGGTACCAATCCTCCAGAAAGGGAATCCCATCTGAAACAAAGAAGGTACAGACATTATTTTGTGGCTCAAAAATTTCGCGCGTTTGGGAAGATATTTGAGTATGAACACCTTGTGTTAAAAAAATGCACATTGCGTGTGCGTCAGTGCGTGCGTACCTAGTGCCAGTCCCAAACCGCGCGAGAATGAGAAATCCCTAACACTCTCCTTTTTCAAATGTATTGAATAGAAGGTCTAATATTAGATTCAGTGAAGATGATATTATGCTTGTACACAAATGTGTGGGAGATACGGTGGCCTAATGGTTAGCGCGTTGGACTCTTGACCAGATTGAGAGGTCCGGGTTCGAGCCCTGGCCAGGGTCATTGTGTTGTGTTCTTGGGCAAGACACTCAACTCTCACAGTGCCTCTCTCCATCCAGAAGTATAAATGGGTGCTGGCAAATTGTTAGGGCAACCTATAACACAATGCTGGGGGTAGCCTGGTGATGGACTAGCATTCCACCCAGGGGTAGTAGCAATACTCCTAGTCGGCTTCATGCTACGGAAACTGGGATAAGCTCTGACAGTGTGGGCCAATTTGGCCCCAAAGGGCTTTACCTTACTGCAAATGCAAGCAAAGGGACTTATGCATGGGTATCCACCACAAAGAGGTGCTGATATCAAGATTTATTTACCTGCTTGCTTGCCATTTCTTCATCTCTTCCATCTCCTACAACTACGTATGTACATTTCTTTCCAAATCGATTCGAGATTCTTTCAAAGCAAGTTTCCTTTCCTGTAAAAAAAAGTGCAGCAAAGTGCATTTAATGAGCTTTGTGGCAAGACAGGAACAAGCAATAAAGTGTCATGACATGCAAGGTTATTCCAGACAACCAGTACTCTACTTAGTTTCCATTTCTTTTTATACTGTAAATACTATATTTTGAGTACAAATAATAAATGTTATTGTTTTATCATTCCATCACTGAGTTTGTTTTTCACAATTATTTTCGGGAAGCGGGAAGCACACACTGCCTTGCTGAAGTAATCGCAGAAGTCAGTATTCACAGGCCGAGTGGACACAACTGTAGATGCATGAGCAGAATATCATTTGCAATAAAATCACTGTCAGACTGTAATGCGCATGAGCAGACCATTATTTGTAGGCAGTTATTTGCAGATCACATAGTGGGCTCTCGGCATCAAATGATACTTTGCAGCTTTCTTTATAAAATATTATTTTACACCTTCCATTCTCTTTATCAACTTTTTTATGCTACAATCACTTACCAACTTTGGTAGCACTATAAATATTTTCCAGTGGGAAAATCCCACCAAGTCCGTAAAGAAGACACTTTGCAAGCGCGGGAACAAGCTGTGTGGTAGTCACCATAACATTTAAACAATTTGACCTGCAGATGGAAAATAGTCCCAATAAAGAGGTGGAAAGGTTCCAAAATTGTATTATTAAATGCTATGTTTGTTTAGTCAACCAGTCTGAAAAGCGCTTTTGCCTTGCCAAGGTTTCTATAGATGCAAGATTAGGGGTTTCAACAAGTTTTCTAGTGGGCAGCTCCCCTGGATGGAATAGGCAGCTAGGCCCCTAGGGGATCTGTCTGGGGTCTGTCTGGGGTCTGTCTGGGTCTGTCTGGGTCTGTCTGGGGTCTGTCTGGGGGTCTGTCTGGGGCCTGCCCCCTCCCCCCCCCCCAAAAAAAAAAATTGAAATCAGGGGGTCAGAAATGCAATTTTCAGCATTCTGGCCATCAAGTAGACGGTGGCGAGAGGTAACGTATGTAGGTGGCCTGGTAGGCAGCTTCTGATTAAACATCTGATGAATTCAAGGTGTGGCATAATCTTGTCCGCCTACCTTGAGTGGATGAGTGTTAATGCTTTCAAGGCAAGAGTCAGCCAGGAATCTGTTGTTGCTTCTAATTCCATACGAAGCTGAAGCCAAGTTTCTCTTTTAGCTGGACCAAGAAGACCTTCAAGAGAATAATAATTTTGCAAAACCAATCAAAATACAAAACTTGGTAGTCAAAGAAACTTACAGAGAAATGGAGCACCCAGTGTCATCCTGTTTCACCAGTATTGCCAGTATCGCAACGGTCATGGGTTTGAATACTATTGAAGTCCCAGATTTTTTCTGGGCCTTCTTTCTTCTTGCTCGCATTTTTTTTCAGTTTGCATGTGCATGTACAACTCACTTCATTTCTGGCACCGTTAGATGGTAAATGACATCAAAAACTGTCAGATGTCCACTTATTGAAGGTTACAAAATGTAGTGTTTGTGTTTTCAGGTGACCCTGTCTAAGTGTTGCATGTTGCGCTGCATAATTACAACTTATTAGGGCTGGTTTACACTAGCGACAGAAGCAGAGTCGGAAGCGGAGAAAGGTTATGATCTAGTGAAAATCGACACAATGGGAGCAGAAGCAGAAGCCTTTCTTAATGAATCTTTTGATTGCCTTATTCCCTCTGCTTATGTTTACGATTCCGTTCACCTTGTTTTCACTAGATCATAAGCGATGGAAGCGGAATCAGAAGAAAAAGAAACTCGTCTGATCCTTCTGATTCCAATTCCATAGAGCCTTCGACTCCACTTACAATTCCGTTTTTTGGTTTCACTAGGTCGTAATGCTCCTTGTGCTTCCGATTCTGACTCTGCTTCTGATTCGGTCACTAGTGTAAACCAGGCTTTACAGAAAGGAAACACATCCTACCTCCCACATTATTCCTGTAGCTGTTGTAGATTTCCTTGATGCGTCTGTATCTATATGCTAATTTCCTCATCCAGTCTACTCCGCCGCGCACCCCAGTCGCCAGGCATAGGTTGGCTGACGTGGCAGCAGCATGAAATCCATCTCCCTCAAAATTGTAGGTACTGCACACAGGCAAAGAGGTTCTGGAGTGAATGTCAGCAAAATACTGAATAGCTCCTCTCCCCGGGGGTACTCTGTCAAGTGTTGGTTGGGGGGGTGGGGATGTGCCGCTGGGGGTGTGCCGCTGGGACTCTGAAACCCTTACTCTGTGAAGTGTTGGGTGGGGTTGTACTGCTGAGACTCTCAAACCCTTACCCTACATGTATACCAGACCATCTTCAGCCGCATTTTGCAGCCCTATTTTAGACTAGATACCAAAAATCCCTACCCTATCCCAGACGCTCTATTTTCAAGAAAACTCTTTCTATTATGAAAGTTGCTATTAAATTTGCCGTAATTATTTGTATTTCAATTTGTGTAAGACACTTTATACATACATACATTTTATTGGACACTCCCCATAGGGCTTTTCAGGCCAATTCTGAGTGAAAATTCCTATTCTCGACTAAATTCTTCATACCACTGATCAATTTCCCGGTGAATGATGCCCTATTCTAGGCCTAAACTCTCTGATTTCTATACCCTATCCCAGACTAAACTACTTGAAACCATACTCTTCACAGCGGCACATACCCGTAGCTTATAATGTGGGAGTACCCCCACTGGGCAACTCTCTCTGCCTGATCTACAATACCAGAAAGACGAGAAAAAACAACTATACCTTAAATCTAGTCCGTTGTCATCAGCAGCAACATCGTCTATGTGCACTTGATCACAATCCTACAAAATAAATGCGACATTGAGCTATAATTTGACATGTTAGCTTGTAATAATACCCGTTGGAGATGCGGTGGCCTAATGGTTAGCGTGCTGGACTCCGGATCAAGCAGTCCAGGTTCGAGCACTGGCCGGAGTCATTGAGTTGTGTTCTTGGGCAAGACACTTAACTCTCACAGTGCCTCTCTCCACCCAGGAGTATAAATGGGTACTGGCGACAAAATGCTGGGGGTAACCTGCGATGGACTAGCATCCCATCCAGGGGAGTAGCAATACTACTAGTCGTTTCATGCTACAGAAACCGGGATAAGCTCCAGCAGTTGAAGACTTTACCTACCTACCTTGTAATAATACCCAACATTACTTTGGGAAATTTCAGACATTTCTGAAGATGAACAAGATTACCCAAGGATCTTCGAAATTTTAAATAATTTCCCTGGATTTCCAAAAAAACTTAAGAGCGACTTTCTGTAAAAATCGACTAAAATCGGCTTTCGGCGGCACAAGTCAAAAAATCAAATTCGCTCATATTTTGCTCATAGATAGGCCCTAGTCAGAAACTAAACGGACTGTAGTTAGTTTTTGAAAATACAGCTTTTTTCGGTAAAAATATGCGAAAAACCATTTTGCCCCGATTGGGCCCAAAATCGACTTCCGGTTTGACAGAATTTTCGGGAAATTTGATCGCTTCGCGCACCATACTACAGCTATTTTCGAATCTTTAAATAACATTTATATACTGTCTAGGTCTTCATTGTTCGATTGAATGAAAATAAAATAAATCTAACTTAGTTTTGAGCCCGAAACAAGATCAAAATCATAGGCTAAATTTGCGAACTTGTTGCAAGCTAATTTATGCAGATAAAACATTGACCATTTTATCTATGTGCGATAACTTAAAATTTCGTAAAAACGTTTTCTATAGGTTAACTATACGTTCATCTGATAGAATATATAGAAAAAACCTCTGGGTAAATGATTTTAAGTGGCCCGCTTTGACCCGTGTTTATCACTTATTTTGCAGAAAATATGCCGTTTCATGTGTAAACAATGGCGTGACACGACTATTCACCGGAGACTCGCTCTGATAAAAAAGTGATTTCCAATTAATTACAGGAAGATATCTAGATAAAGGTAAATGAAAAACATAATGGAACCATTTTTGTTTTATTTGTTTAATTATAATTTATGGCATCGCTTTTAGCAGTTTTATTTTTTCGTACCCGATTGCGGTTGAACAACCTATTAAATAGCATGAGTTATTTTGAGAATTCCGTCCAAGTAGCCTCAAAACAAGCCAAGGCTATAAATATAAACTACCTAGTTGTGAACTCTTTAAAAAATAAGAGCAATCCGAGATAGTTTTTGTTCACCCGTTTTGAAGGCAGTTGGAGTGAGACTTGGAAACCGTTGCGTGACCAGTACACGATGTTGATCACCAAGTCGCAGTGCAGACTGTAATTTTAAGTTAAATCTCGTCGAGCGGGTTCTAAAGGGAATACATTCCCAGTTAATTGTTAAGCATAACAAGTCGGGATTGTTTGTATCTGAAGGAAACTCCTGCAGTAATAAATATATTTCGCTCATTGCTCGTATACCGTAACCTGGGGGCCGGGACTCTCTCGTATCATAGTGACATCGGTGGGTGACGGTGGGTAATTTCCTTTGAAAGGAACCCCTCAAGGATAACAGAATCACGCTATATGGGTGTGACTCGAATTCAGTTTCACTCCTAAGATGCATCAATTCTAAAACCGGGATAACTCTAACAGAGAGGTATGACAATAACAACAACCCCTGGAACGGCAACTCACAAAATATCCGTACTACTAGATACTACTTTTTAGCTCAATTATTAATAAAAACCATAGACGTTTTCATTTTCAATTGTGCACGTTTCCGATTCGTCTCAATACCTTGACCAGTCTTCGTGCAGTCATCTGCCTCGTCCCAGTCGTCGCTCTTTAGACGGGCGCGGTTGCACCACGCACCTTTTCTGCTCTTTACCGACTAAATTCAACGGATGGTGTATGTCATCGTTGCGGTTTTGCGCACTCACGCTCGAGGCAGAAACAAGGGAATAATTGAACAAGTTGATGTTTATCACTGAATAAGCTAAGCGCAACATCACTGCCTGGGGAGAGCTCTGTTCAGGCAGCCCTTTGTTCCGTTTACCGTCGCCCGAGGGGACCAGATTTTTCAGTTTCCAAAAAACTTTTTTACAGTATTGTACGGTAGGCAATGTAGTCTGACCCTTTTAACCCTTTTACTTGGGAAAATAAACAAACTTATGTTTTTGCAAATGTATATTTACAACATTTTTTCAATGCTTAATATTTGAAGGTATTTCAGTCTTGAGCAACACCGTGTGGTAAGCACCAGTTGACGTGCCCTGGAACATGAGATACACTGAGAGAAATATGGCTATATATATGTGCATGAAAATGTGACGTGGAATACTTGAGAACGAAAACCAGCTACGATGTTACATTTCCTCCTTTGTCCATGCGGGTTGGGCTCTTAATAGTTCTTTCGTTCGAAAACAAAGTTCAATTTGATTCAAAAGGATCACCTACTGTAATGAACAAAAACAAACTGGAAAGAAGCTTGACCCCGTCTCAGGTGTCCCAAGAAATGAGAGTTGCGAAATATTCCAACCCTCGAACGTTACATCCTACCCTAACCCAAATTATACACCCATGACTGTACAGGGGGAGAGAATTGATTGAATCCCATAAGACTCCTTGAAAGCCTTATGCCTTTAGTAGAGAGCCTATAGCTTGCTTTACAGCATAAGGTGCGTGGTTTTGCTGTTAATTATGACGTCTACGTTTAATATACGTACGTCATGAAGTACACCATCTTCTATTTCAGGTTTTCTTTTCTCGTGACGTCAGAAACAAGCCAGTAAATCGGTAAATGAAATGTCATTTAAAAATTCAATAATTGGGCCGATAAATCTGCATGTCAAAACACGCGGTTGTCATGGCAACATCAAACAGTTGTCAAATCAAACTGAACCTGAGAAATGAGTGAACAGTTACTGAACATTTTAGCATCCCAGAGTGCAAATTTTGCACGTCTGAGATGCGTCACGATGTCTCCAGTTCAGTAGTCTTACAACACGACACATGTGTGAACTGCGAAGCAGCGAAGTATTTCGCACCTAATCTGAAACATCTTACTGAGCTTTTGGGGATAAATAATACAGTCTTTCAGAGATTGCCGAAAATCAACGTAAGATTTCCAAGGATAATACGAGGTCTTCCGAAGAATGTCGAGGCTCGATCGAGTCATTATCAACTGAGATCGGTCAAAACTGATAGCTGAGAAACGGCTAAAATTTCAACTGATAACTGAGGATTTCCCAAATTCTAATTTGTAACTAAGAATCCATCAGGACCCTCTATATAGTTACTGGAATATTTTGGACTCCCAAGCCCATGGCCCTGTCGCTATAAAAACGAAAACCAGCAGCAGCGGAACCAGAGATGCCCAATGTTATGAGAAGCTGATAAAAATAAATAATTAAAATAGCACTGGATTCAGCAAACAACGAAAGTGCTATTTTAATAATTTTGTATACATGTAGTATTATTGAAACACAAAATAATTTTCGCCGTCATTTTCGTTAATCTTCTTTCGTCATTGTTTTCTTGCCGAGGCTGAGCATATTGTATATACCACTGGCCGTACCAGCAGAGAGCATTTCGCCATATATTAATTTATCACTCATTTAAAATTAAATAAACCATTGAGAACTGGTTAGTTGTACTTCTCAACCATTTGTAATTAGTGGTAATCAGCGAAAGTAATAAACTTAGCTATTTGAACATTAAACTGAAAAAATATTTATTCCCGTCGCACGCTATAAACAGAGTCACGCAATGCTCTTGCTATGTCGAACATGCTGCAGGGAGAATAATGGTCAATAATTCAAGAACATAATTTACTCATTTGATCTTTACCTGAAAGTTCTAGTTTACCAAGAGGGCGATACATTTATAGTGTTTGAAGAATGAACAAAATATGATAGTGTTTCAAATTTGCAAAGTTTGAAGAGAAACAAACCGGCATAGTTTAGGTCATAAAACGAACATGTGGTTTCAAAATGCAAATATACTAATAGTGGAATAAAAAAAGTCAATAAGAGATGTTCTTTAGGTTCCGATTTAATGATCAGCTATATTTATGCGTTTCCCTATAGCTATGTTAAAGTGATTATTATCGAGTATTCAGATTGCGACTGGCCCTGTCACGCCATTGTTTACACATGAAACGGCAGATTTTCGGCAAAATAAGTGATAAACAAGGGCCAAAGCGGGCCACTTAAAATCATTTACCCAGATATTTTTGTACATATCCTATCAGGTGAACGTATAATTAAACCACAGAAAATGTTTTTACGAAATTTTAAGTTATCGCACATAGATAAATGGTCAATGTTTTCTCTGCATAAATTAGCTTGCAACAAGTTCGCAAATTTAGCCTATGATTTTGATCTTGTTTCGGGCTCAAAACTAAGTTAGATTTATTTTATTTTTCATTAAATCGAACAATGAAGACCTAGACAGGATACAAATGCTATTTAAAGATTCAAAAATAGCTGTAGTATGGTGCGCGAAGCGATCAAATTTCCCGAAAATTATGTCAAAACCGGAAGTCGATTTTGGGCCCAATCGGGGCAAAATGGTTTTTCGCATATTTTTACCGAAAAAAGCTGTATTTTCAAAAACTAACTACAGTCCGTTTAGTTTCTGACTAGGGCCTATCTATGAGCAAAATATGAGCGAATTCGATTTTTTGACTTGTGCCGCCGTTTGGTCGACTTTTACAGGAAGTCGCTCTTAAGGCAACAATGACTGAGGATCGGATCACCTCTTACCTCTAAATCATTAAAAAATAAATGAGTATCTGCTAAATTGAAAATCATTTCCTCCATGCGAAGTCCTAATGATACCGAGTTAGGAGCATCCTAAACAAACAAAATACCAAGAGATCAACAATTAAATTTAAACCTTTAAAACAAAGATTTCTCTAACTAAAGTTGTAATATCCCATGCAAAATTGATGATAACACATGACAGGCCTCGCTGATGCATGTAGCACTGCAGGCTAATGTAGAACCAGATAAAACACC